TTTCAGTTTTTTTTTAATTTAGGTCTTTATTCTGTCTGAAATTAATTTATGTATGTTTTGATATAAATAATTATTTCAGCATTCTTTACTCAATAGTCTTCTCCATTGCAAAAACTTTCCACCACATACTTGATTTCCGTGTTGCCTAGGTTTGTTTTGTCCTCTCTATTCTATTACAGGACTATTTTTCTCTCTTTGTAGCACTATTATGCTGCAGTAATTACTATGACTTCATAGCCAAGTTCTCCTTCTTAGGAATTCCTTTGGCTACCTGACTCACTTTATCTGAATTGTAAATTTTAAAATCACTTTGTCATCTTTCGTCAAACCTTCCATCCATTTTTATTATAATCTCACTAAATTTATTGAAAATTATGTCTTTGCTATACTGTCTCCCATCCATGAAGATGGTATAATATTCCACATGTCTGTTTTATTTGATTATTTTAAAAATGATTTATAATTTTATTATCAAAAGTTATACATATAACTTTCTAGGTGTTGTATATGAATCATATTATGCATGATTTTTTATTCCCTTTTGACTGTGTAATGATTGTTATAATTTATTTTGGGTCCAGGCTAGTGTCCAGACTCTTTAGAGTCACTTATCTGTGTGGTATCCTACAATTCTTGCAATGAGAAGGAAAATTATAAAATTCCTCTTTTTGGAAAAAGTATTAAAGGTACAGAGTGTTCACTGATTGGGTGCTAAAGACAAACAAACTTAAATACCAGCAAATTTGATTCAATATATAATACAAATTTAAAAAATATATTAAATGGATTATGATGAGTGAAGCTGAAGTGACAGCAGATAGCACCTACACACCAAGTGAATTGGTGTGTTTAAGAAAAGAGGAAAAGAGTGGCATTGTTCAAGAAATTTACAGTTGATGAAGACCTTGGAAGAGCTACATACAAATTGAGGTGCAAGAAACATATTTTATAACTTTTGGCCTGGAAAAGCATTTAGCTGAATCACACAGGGGGGAAAAACACCAGTAAATAGTTTAAAGTATAAGTGGTATGTGACATTTAAAAGATTTACTTAAACAGAACACAGAAGAAACTGGAGAATGCATTAAATAACTTGTTTTTGTTGTTGTTGTTTTAAAAAAGAAAACCTCTGGAGATGGTAGTGGCAGATAAGGTCAGTAGAAATTAAAGATGTGAATGAATGGCTGGCTGACTAACCAGATGCATCAAGCTTCTGAATAGGGAGGGACCTTCACTTACATTCTTACAGAGACAAAGCTTAGACATTATGATCAGCCACGAACTACACACTGCACAAGAAAACCAGAGAGAAGTTCCAGAGGGCAGGCACGGGGAAGGGACCAGTGTGCACCTTGAAAAGTGACTCAGAATTAAGTCATCTTTGGCTGGGTCAGTGAATGAGAACGGAACCTGCTTGTTATGACTGGAGAAGAAATCAACGGTATAGGCATGAGAAGCTGTGAGAAATAATACTCCAGCTTTGAAAACTCATCACACCAAGGGGGCCCAAGAGGAAGGCTTTAGCTAAAAGAGAAAGGCCATAAGACGAGAACCATCATAAGAACCAAACACTCCAGGAAGTGTGGGTTTTCCCCAAAAGCAGTGAATTTCCTGGCATTAAAGGTACTCAAATATAGGCAGGCTGGTGTGATTATTATCATCATCATCTTACCTACTATTTATCTAACTAGGCTGTGGTGTCAAGCCATTGTCTGAAAAGAAACACAATGCTCAGAAAAAGTACAACCAACATTCAGCGGAGCAAGGCTCAACAGAAGAGGTAGCTTTGGGGTGAAACATCCAGGGCTTAGCTGCTTGTGTACAAAAGGACATGGAGGAGGACAACTGTGGCTTCCAGGTAATCCCTGTTCATTCCCACAGCAGTCTGCAGAACGTCTGGAATCCATGCCTTCCTAACTCTGCTGTGGTTCTGCTGAAGCCCATTGCCATCTCCTTTTCTGAGGCAGCTCATGGTCTCAGCAGACAACCGATATACAGTGTCTGTCTACCCGCAATGATAATGTGTCAGTTCAGAAGCAGCCAGGTTGCCAGAGTTGGGTCAAAAACAAAAAATGAGATTGGATATGGACTGTATGTAATTGGTATTCAGAGGGATGTGATTTGGGTGGTGTGTAGGCCCATGCTGTGGGACATAAGTAAAGCAATACACCAGAAGGGTGCTGAGCCACAGCTTTCAGGGCCACCACTGAAGCCCAAGTCAAGTCAATGGGACATCTGATCTACCCATGGACCTTTCAGTCATGTGCCAACAAGGAGTTGCCTTCTTCTTTCTCTTCCTCTCCCTCTTTCTTTCCCCTTCTTCCTCCTCTTTTTCTTTCTTCCACTTCACTTCTTCTTCCATTTTCTCCTTTCATCCACCTCTTCCTCCTTCTCTTCTTCTCCTCCTCATCTTCCTTCCCTCTCCTTGTTTCTACTTCCCCTCTTTCTTCTTTTTCCTCCTCTTCTTCCTCCCTTCTTTTCTTTGTCATCTTCTTATCCTCCTCTTATTTCTCCCCCTGTCATCCTTCTCTCCTTTATTTTCTAATCCTCTCCATCAAGTCACTTATATCAAGGTTTTCTGTTACAAATGGATTAATATATTTGTCATGAAAGTTGTCTGATTTTATTGTTATAACATTATTGTAAGTATTGCCGTTGACAGATGACCTTTTTGTGAGAGCAGAAGTCCAGGAGAATGAAGATTGGGATGCCACAGATCAAAGAAGACAGTCTAATGGTGCGAAGAAACTACAGGCAATGAAGAAAGAAACACTGAGGGGTTCGCTGAAGCTGTTCAGAAGGGAATATCAAATGAAGATGTGCAGAGCTTCTCAAAACCCCTCCTGCTGTTCAACTCATATGAGTGGTAGGTGGGGCTTCACAGTCATACGTCAGTCCTCAAAGTCAAAACTCTGGACTACTCAGGCCCAGCCATTCTTAGGTCAAGTTGCCACTGATTCTATGGGCAAACTTCATAGTGCCATATCAAACAAACCAAATCATTTCTTTACTTCAGATGCTTGCAGTGACTTTCGAGTTTATTTTGTGTTTCAAAGACCTCTTTGTCATTGAAATAACACTTCAAAAGCCTCAAAAACATTAGCTGGAAACATCCTGGAAAGACAGAATTCATTTTTAGATAGATGTGGTGCTCTCGAGTCTGTTTGGTGAGTCTCTCCTTTCTATGAAAATTTTTTAAAAAAATGTTTTCAAGGTGGTAAAAATAAAAACATAATTGCTTTTCTGGACTTGCAGCAAATTTAATCACATGTGAAGTAAAATTAGCAATATGACCCTAAGGCCAAAGGAAATTAGGAACAAGATTACTGGCTAATGTTATTAATGGCAAATCTTTACAGAGGAGCAAAGGGTTAAGGGACAAACATTGCTATTCCTGGTGCTCAGACATGTATGAGTTTCTGGCAGGAATTTTAAGGTAGCACTGAGGAGCCCACTCAGGAGTATCTGATACTTGAGCTTGAGGTGGGGACAAAACCTTCGCCCTCGGCAGGCAGTAGGCATTCTGAGAATGGGGTGGTAGCAGGGTAGGGTAAGGCTGGGTGTGTGGAAAGATGAATGGGACAGGGGCTATTGGGGGGGACAGTTGATTTCATATTTCAGGAAAGGAAAGAGAGTGTTTTGTGTTTGTTTGTTTGTTTGTTTGTTTTGTGTTTTTAATTTTTTTCCCCAGGTGTAGAGATTGAACTTCTTACCTGGCTCATCTGGGTGAGCATTCTGTCACTGAGCCACACACATGGAAAGAGTGTGCCTCTATCTGACTGAAAACACAGTAAAGCAGAGTGGCACCTGAAAGAAGCAACCTTCGTTGGGCCTGTCTACCAAGGTGTATCATCAGGGAGAAAGAGGCTGCCATGTAGAACTGTGGTCCCAGGACTGGTGGCTCCTGAAGTTTCAGATGGGTAAGGATGTGAGGACAAAGGTCACCATTCTAGCGGGGAAGCATGGAGCTTCCAATGGAGCCTTCTGGGAGCAGAGTCATGAGGAGGAGGATGCCGCAGTGTACCATGATGAGAGGCCTAGCCGAAAGGACACAGGTTGTGTGCTGGCCTGGGTATCCTGGGCACAAAGCACATTCAGGACGTCTTAGCAGACTCCAAGAAACCCTGGGACAGGGAATGTAGGAATGCTCTGCAAGAACTGGGGTCTGTGGGGACTGAATAAGCAAGTAATCTATGAGCAGCAATACCTGTGGGCCTCATGCATTTTTATTAGTGAGGACTGAGACTGTCTGGATGCATATCAAGTCACTTGATATATTATCCTCTGACCTGCAATCTGTTTTTTTTTTTTTTATTTATAAGCAAAACAAGGTTTCAGATAGGTAACAAACAAACAAACAAAAATGAAGTCCTTATAATAAATAAGCCCTTATTTATTTATTTGAGTGGTATAAATCAACTCCAAGTCATATTTGAGTCGGAAAAGTCATCACAGGTCTTCCTGTGTATTTTACCTTTGTTTTGTTGAGACAAGATCCTACTCTGAGGCTCTGGCTGTCCTGGAACTCACTACATGGAAAATGTAGGCTTTGAACTCACAGAGATCCACCTGCCTCTGCCTCCCAAGTGCTGGCATTAAAAGTGTGCACCACCATCCCTGGCTCTGTGTATTTTATATAACCAAAGATACTTCCTACTTTTGGAAAGCAAAGTTTAAAAAAATGCCTTTTCATCAACCACTGACTGGCCTGTCAAAGGGATGATCTCTCCACAGCCACGGACTGGACACTTTGACAGGAATCATGGGAGGCACAGCTCTCTGGACTGAGAACCACAGGATTGGCAAGAAATTCACATCTTCTCAATGAATATGGTACTTCATTTGCCAGGCAAAGAGGAGACAAGTCAACCAGCAACAGAGCAAACAAATCTAATTCGTCCCTTTGTGTGCCAGGCCTCACTCAAAAGAGCCATAAACACCTCATTAACTTCCTATTAGACACATTCCCAGCTCAGTTCTCGAACGCAATGTGCTCCTACCTTGGAGTATGCTCTTGATTATCCCATCAGTGTGATCAGCCAGGAGATCTGCCTTGGTGATGGCAGCCAGGGACAGATAATTGGACATGTTCCTACACAGCTCCTTGTTGCCTCTGTGGAGGAATTTCACTGCGATGGGGACAGCTAAGACCATCACAGGGGTCCGGTTGTAATTCTGAGGAAATATAAGAAGGCAACAAACAAGTAACTCATTGTCCATTCGTTATTCATTCACCTCAAAAATATTTGCTGGGCTCCTTGAATACAGCTGTGAAAACACAGGCCCTGCCCTGTTGACACGGCTTGGGTTCCCCTTGTCCTTACAGGAAGACTTAGGGGCAGTTGATAGCATAAACTGAAGCATGACCTTAGAGGTACAGGGTGCGAAGGAGAACTCATCGCGCCAGGAGGTGTCAGAAAAGACTTCTAGGGGAATGTATGCCTTAGCTGAATGAGTTAGGGTAGCTGGGTGATGATAAGGCAAACACTGGAGAAGAAAGAGGCATTGTGGGAGGCACATTGTGAGGGAGAATGTGGCACAACTAGGGAGCTGTGGGTAACTCAGTGTGTTCATGGGAAAATTGGCAGGAACTGGAAAGACCAGCAGGCATGGGTATACCAGGAGGCGGGAGAGTTTGGAACTAATCCTGAGGGCATCCAGGGGTCAAGGGGAAGAACAGATCATCAGATTTATATTTAAGAAAAACAAAGGAATGTTGACAAGCTTGAAGGTTGTTTTTTACTCAATCAAGGATAGATTGGATGCACAAAGTATGGTATATATCATATTCATATATAGAAGTCATATGTATGAATAGTATTCACTCAAAAAAGAATGAAACCAAAAATTTTCAGCAACGTGAATGAACATGGGGAACACTGCAAAGTGTAATTAGCTAGTCTTGGAAATACAAATATGACATGCATAGTTTTAAAAGGTGATTTTGCACAAATAGTTTGGCAGGGGATTGAAGGAGATCAGGTAATGATCTACCAAAAACATTTGTATAGGACAAATGCTAGCATTCAAATCTTGGCAGGACAAATAATAAAAGTTCAAGGGGAGGAAATGCTTGTTACCTTGACATCATTACCCATTACAAGTATTGACTGAGAGACACTGAACTCAGGTATATGGACAGCTATTATGTGTCAATTAAAAATGCTAAAAATTTAGCTAATGATATTCAAAAGAAAAGTAAACATACGACTAATGCCTCAAGGCATTCTAGATCCTGAAATAACTCTCTTCTTATTTATTTTGTGACTCACTTTAAGTGTCTTATAAATGCTGCCGTCGGTATTTAGATAAGTAATTAGGAAGTAATTATAGATAAATTGTATATATTCAGGACCACCACCCTGACCACTTTGACTATGAGAAGAACTGTACTATATACAATGTGTTTGGGAGCTGACTTCATATCATTATGCTGTAAACAAAAGGGGCTGCTCTTTTCTGTGTGAAAGGTATTTGTCCTTTTGCCCATAGGCTGATTTCTACTACTTCTGACAATTCTAGGTTTATGGTAGGTCCTTAGCAAACACCATAGCCTGAATAACAAATGAATAAAATGTAATAGGGCTATGAGGTGGCCACTGCCTATCACTGATGTAAAAAGTTGGACATGATGACATATGCCTGTAATCCCAACACTGGAAAGGCAAGACACAGGAGGGTCTTCAGGGCTTGTTGGCTTGTTAGCCTTCAAATTGGCAAGTGTCATGGTCAGTGGGAGTCGTTGTTTCAAAAATCAAAGTGTAGCAACAAAGGAAGACAACCAACATCGATTTCTGGCCTCCACATACATGCAAGCACACAAGCAGACATATAGACTCATGGACACACACAAACATGTACACATGTATCTACCATACATACACAAGTGGGGAATAGGTAAGAAGAGAGAAGATAATGTGGATATGTGATGATGGCTATGACAGAGAACACAATGTGTTGGGGAGGGCACGTGATGGAACACAGACTCTGGATTCCACTATGGGCTTTGTCACCCTCCTGCTGGCTGATCACAGAGATGTCAGCCAGCTCTCTAGATCATTTGTAACAGTGCCTGTCATCACATTCTCCTGTCAAGTAATTGCAGATAAATGGGTCTCACAGCAGACACAACAGCAACTGACTGGCACAGGAAGACTTTCCAAGCGGCTAAAGGACCAATGACCTTGGAGAGAAGGTCAAATAATGACTACCCTCCTAATAGGCCGCACACTGAGTAATCTACATCACCGTATGGTTATAGACGGGAAGCCTGCAATGGTGGGCAAAGGTGATGGATAGAAATTTCTGCCTCTCTATCAGTAAATGTGCATTTTCTTTTTCTTTAGTAGTTAGTTTCTGCGTTGCTGATGGGGATAGCCATATGATTGCAAGACAGCATCTTCTACCTTCTTTGCAGTCAGATGTGTAGACAATGAGATAAAGAAAACTTAATGTATTCAACTTCTCAGCTACTATTAGCATGATGTGACTTGGCTTTTTACTCATTTTCTCCCTTAAATTTAGTTGGAACAAGGACTTGGTAACAAGGACTGAAGTAGTTATCTATGATCCTAGCTTAGAAACTGTGTGTAATACAGAGAAGAGAGGAACCTCCGCATCAGCCCTGGTCTGACGTGTCTGAATCATTTGATGAGAGATAAAAATACCCTGTGTAGTTTAACCGACTGTTCTAGTTAGGCCTTTGTTATGGCAAGTGAGCTTTTATCCTGACTAGAACTGTGTTAATCCAGAACCATTTTTATTCTTGAAGTGTCCTCCGTAGCTGAAGGGAAAGTTAGGTCCTTAGGCAATATGGAATTTAGAATTTTATTTTAGTACAAACCCTCTAATAAAGATCAAAGAAGGAACATGGGGCCAATACTGTCACACTGCTCTGGGGTCTCTAAGCAGCATCATGACATCTGAGATAAGGGGCAGTGAGATCAAAAAGGACATTTAATGTGAGACGACAGTGTCTTGACCCTCATACCAACTAAAACAAAAATAAATTCCAGGCAAATTGCATATCTAACAGTAGAAAGCAAAGCAAAGGTGGAAAAAGCACACAGCCGATGTTCCCAGTGGCTTTGGGTCACTGAGCGATTCCTCAAATCTAACTAAAATATTACCATTAAAAAAGGGAATGTAAAGTGAATAAAAGTAAGGAGTTCTATTCCAGTGATATTTTAAGATAATGAAAAGATAATCCAAGGGACATGGATATTTGTGATCCATTTATTCAACAAAGGGCTAGCCATAACCAGAATATGTACATACAATCAAACTTGGAATCAGTAAGAAAAAAATCAAAGAAACAAAGGATTTGGACAGATGTTTCAGAGGTAAGGATATAGAAATTGACCAAACACTTGAAAATTTGCTCACTTTCACGGAGATAAATTTTGGTCTGGGACTATCTACTAGGCTTTGTTTAGTGAGGCGTCTTCGAGATATGAACTCTCCTGAAAAGGATGCACAGTCCTACGAATTCGGTTTTCAGTAAGTTTTTTAAGTGGACTGAGACTTGGTATACGTACAGGATTGATTGTTCTATGCATATTCACGCATCGCCAGTTTTAGGATTTCGTGAATGACCATGACATGCAGTGGTGCATCCAAGACAGTCAACAGTACAATAATGGCAGTGCCAGGAGCGTGAGTCACCTCCTCACACTGAGTGTTAAGTAAAGGAAATGCTGTGGGACAGCTGAGACACTCAGATTAGTGAGTTGGGAGTAATAACTTTGGAACACCCATATCTTGCTATGAAGTCCATAACACTCCCTCAAGTCATGGAAAATGTTATTGCTATGGTTTCCCTTCTGCCCCAGATCTCAGCCTCATCAAGCTCTGCTGAATATTCAGCTTTCCTTTTTTTGGAGAGTCTACATTAATTCTTCATTGAGGAGGTTTCCAGTTTCTAGTGATGGCATTTCTACTCTTGGTCTCAAGAGTGATTAAGTGACTCAGCCTAACACAGGGCACATTTCCCTGATCCAAACGATGGTTTGAGAATAAGCACTTCACCAAATTTAGTCAGGGATTCTTCGAAGAGCTCTGTGATTGTGATTCTCCTGCTGGATTAAAGGGACTAGGAGTTTATGGATGTCACTATCGTGGGACTGCAGTAGATAGGAGAGAACGTGCGTGTAGTTTGAGGAAATGTGGGGTCAGAGAGGCAAGCTGGGAGAAATCAGGACCTGTTAATTTCATTCGAACTCCATGATATAGGTATGCTTAACCCATCTCCATTCCTAAATTTTTCCAATCAAGCCAATTAAATATCTTTTGCTTAAGCATTCCTATTTTCCTAATCACCAGCCCCCTCCCCCCCCAAAAAAAAATGCCTGATACATTTCAACTCATTTCTGTATTCCATTAATTTTCCAGATACAGGGTCCAGACCATGGTTTGCCTTAAGACTTCTCTGATGGCTTATCTGAATATCTTTGTCTGCCTTCTCTTCCCTCCAATGAAGACTATGTGGCCCTGACTGGACTGGTCATTGCTGGGGTGGTAGCTTATGAGGCCTCCCGGAAAGACAGGCTTCTCCTTTCCCCCAGGTCTGGCACTCACCTGCCCACATAGAATTGCTTGGATCTGCTGGGAATAACTCACACAAAACTATTTATAGAAGGTTGTCCCATAAGAGTGACAGTGGGAGACTCTCTTTAGTCAGATCAGAACATCCCTCTCACATTGTATCAAAGTACCAAAAGGCCAGGTCAGAAACTAGATCTTCACTGATTATCAAAAGATTAGGTAAGGTCTAAAGAGATACTGAGGTTTATTCCATCAAGACCATGGTAGACCCTGATTAAAATAACACACTTATTCACAACTGTATCTCCATCTGTGATGACTGGAACATTCCATCCACCAAATTCAGTCTCTACCACTTCCTTCAAGTTACACTTGAGTACATGTGCCAAAGTAGTCATCTCTTTCCCTTTTGTTAATACGCTCTTTAGACTGTGGTGTTCAGGAAGATTAACTGATCTTTTCCCACTTCTCTCAGTTACCCTATATTGTTGCTTCTTTGGATTCACATTTAAGCTATTTCTGCTACAGCACTGGATGCCACGCTGACTTGCAGTCTACTTTTGGGCTATGTTTACAGCCATCCAGTCTCTTGGTGGGGAGGTTCTGAGAGTTAAACATTCATATTTTGGCCTTAAAGTGGTCAAAGCCCTAGCATTGGGAACATTCCAAAAGGAACTCCAAGTCAAGGCTTATATCCACACTGAGTCTTTTGCCAAGAATAACTTGAAAGTAGAAAGGTACATGTCTTCCATTAGAGGATTAGATCTTCAGGCACTCTTTAATTAATTAATTAATTTAAAGATGAAGTCTCACTATGTAGCTCTGTCTGACCTTGAACCTATGCTGGCCTCAAATTCACAGAGATATGCCTGCCTCTGTCTCCTTAGTGCTGGGATTGATGGTATGCACCATGGTCTCAGGCATATTTATATGTAGCTTGAAAAGCCAAATGTGGTGGTCTCAGGAAGTGGCCCTTGCTAACTGTGAGCACAGACAAACACAGGGGGAACTGGATTGACAGAAATCATTATATTCTGTTCTAACTCTGGAGGGAGTGAGCCCTTGACAGCAGCAATGAAAGAACAGGTCTTCTTAACCAATCAGACTGCATTCTTTTTATAACAGTTCTGGATGTCTCCGAAGCAGGGATCCAATGCAAAAACATAAACTCCTCCCCTCAAGTGGATCATGTCATCATTAAAAAACAAAAACAAAAACTAAATAAACTTCAGCACACTCAATTTTTCTGTCTTTTCCCCCCTCATGTATCATTTGGAAAAGTTCTCAAGTGAAACAAAAAGTAAAACATTAAGCAAAGAGAAAACAGTTAATCTAAAACCCAAAGGCTCACCACCAAAGGCACTCCACCTCAAAACAGTGTCTAGACAACCCCTGCTATATCAAAAGCCACAAGCACTGCTGACGACAACAGGATATGAGTAAGGGGCTGGGGCCAGGGTGACATTGGCAAAGAAGAATCCCATGGACCTAAAAGATAGCAAACAACTTCTCGGCGCCTGAGCCCCACTTCAAAGGCACTTGCTGTGCCGTAGAACTGGGCACAGCAAGTCACTTTATCTTGTAGAGGTATTTGGATCACAGAGTTGCTAACGGGACACAGGCAGAGAAAAGTCCTGTGGTCACCATTCTACAACAAATAAACCACTTTTACGGCAGCTGGCAATGCCACAGCCTGTGACAGAGCTTGGCTCCCAGCATAGAAGTCAGCAGGCTGGTGTGAATATTATCTTACAAGTTCAGAGCTCAGGGAACAAATGGAGGTCACTGCAGTGTAGAAATAAACTGACTCCCGGGAACCGCTACACCTCGCAGGAGACGGGAAACAAGAGGGCCTTGTTCCACCATGCCAAGGATGCCATCTCTCAACTTGATTAGCACCAACTAAGCTCTTGGTGGAGATTTTCCTTTTGAAAACGTGGTTTGGGAGCCTTTCCCAGTGTTTTAAAATTGAAAAGAATAAAGCAAAGGAGAAGAGACACATATCTAGGGTGTCAGCCACTGAGAAGCTCCTGTGCTCTCGGGTACTGAACTCAGTTGGAACCACAGACAAGCAACAATGTCAAGAGATGTCCAACTTCCCTTCCTTTATTAAAATAGGGCTCCTTGGGTATTCATCCAGCCTCATCCAGCAGACAGACAGAACACTTGATTCTTACCAAGGTAGCTTATCTAGAAATCTAATTGACTTATTCACCTGTTTTTCCTGGTGGGTTTCTTGACAGGTGAGAAGGGGGAGGTGTGTTGATTGTCCCCACCCTTCACATTTCATCCTCCTGTCCAACGACCATGTCCAGAAGCCCAATAGAGAGAAATATGGTTGCTAAGGAAGCCACAGGTAGTTACCGCTCCTGAGCCTATACGTTACTTCATCCAGTAAACATCACTTGAATGTGTATCCACTGCTTGCCAAGTGCTATTTTAGGTGCTGGGGCTACATCAGTGAAAAACCAAGACATAATCTGGGGAGGGTGGAGGCAGGCAAACAATCACCAATGTAATTGCTGAATTAACAGCTTGTTGTAAAGGGGTGAGTGATTGGCAGAATGATGGCTTAGTGGATAAAGCACTAGCCCACACAAGTGCAAGGACCCTAGTTAGGGTTCTCAAAACACATGTGAAAGCTGGATAGGTGTGGTGGCCTACCTATTATCCTAGCATCTGGAGACGGAGACAGGGGCAAGCTGGTTAGTTCTGGTTCCATCAGGAAATGCAGCCTCAATAAATAAAGTGAGGAGTAATGGAAAAGATGCCCACTGTCAAGCCACTGGCCTCCACATGCATACCAAACACACAGGCGAAACAACAATAAAAAGGGAGTGTTGCATGATGTATTATGGTCTCCTGCAGATGATAGTACCAACTGGAGTTAACACTCATGTGGTAGTTCCTACATGGTGGATAATTTTTCTTTATTTATCACCTGGTTATTTATTCATCACAACAAACCCACAAGGCAATTGCATCTGTAATCTCTACTTTATCAAAGAGGTAATAAAGGCACAAATTTGCCCAAGCTCACCCTACAGGTAAAAAAAATGATAGAGAGGGAACTGCTTGCCGAGTACGCTTTTCTAGCTTTATATAACCATCCTCTCCCATAGAAATTCTGAAGGAAATGCTCGGAGCCATCCCAGGTCCTTTGTTCTCAAAGCCGTCACACAGTGTTGACTGAGGAAGCCTCCATAAGCAGTGTGTGCGTGTGTAATCAAGGAGGGTAGACATATGGTCCTTTTACAATGCAGAAAAACACACATCTCCTAATTGATGAATTACTTCTTGTCCCTTTGCTCTCTCTCTTTGTCGGCCATCTTGGATACTTTCATTCACAGGCTTTCCAACGCTGGTAGCTGACATGAGACAGCAAGTAAGGCAAAGCTGACTGACATGTGGCATCAGGTTTACTGTGAGCTGAGGAACAGTGATTGCCCTGACTCATATGATGAGGTGAAAATTGGGTACTGGCTTTCAGACTCCTATCAATTCTCTAGAGTTTCATTCTAGGATATCGACCATGCCAATTATTATAATACCGCATTTCCATCCTCATCTGCCCTCTCCAAGTTTGTATTTATTTTAAGAAGCAGACTGTCCTGTGTATCTTTCCTTTCAGGGTTTCCCTGGGAGATGGGCAATGACTGAATCCTTATATAACTTGGTTAGATGAAGCCCCTAGCCTCAGGTAAGTTGTGGCTTGAATTAGGTGCCCCCCCATCATATTTAGACCACGTATAGAAAGCTTTGTAAGGAAGAACTCTCTTCATGTGAATCCACCTTCACCAGTCTGCAGAGTAAGATTTTACCATTTTGGTTTCCTAGCTGGAGTTAGCTGGATACCTGTTTCCATTGGCCTATAAGACTTGTGGATTTGTTTGCTAGTTGCAGACAACTATGTTTACTGGCCACTGAGCTGCGACTGTCGTAGGCAAGCACCTCACATGCCTTGTCACCTTGATGTCTCACAGTTCCAAACAGGAGGTATTAATTGTTCCTTCAGTTTACAAAGATCAAGGCAGAGACCCAAAGAAACAAATCTTCCAATTTCTCATCTCTAGAACAGATGGGTATTCACAGTACACAGAGAAATAGAATGAGTTAGCCTGGGGAGATGGCTCTGTAGACGGAAGCGTTCGCTGTGCATGCATGAGGGCCTGAGTTCAAACCTCTCGCCTCATAAAAAGCTGAGCATGGCTGAAGGTGCCTGCCATGCTGATCTCCAGGTCCAGTGAGAGACCCTGCCTCTAGAGAGGGAGGGAAATGACAGAGAACGACAACTGCCATCCTCCTTTGGCCTCCCCAAGCATTCTCTCAGACTTGCTGCAGAATTATTTCAAGTTCTTTACAGTCTAGCTCGCATACAGCAGGGACTCGGTAGGATTTTCCCAGTTTATTAGTTAGCATCCTGCTGGTTTAGCTACCAGTGGTTCATGGTGTCTTTTTACAGTACTTAAGAGGCACAAAAATTGCCTTTCAGTTCAGAGACATCATGCGTTCATATAAGCTGCCAACTCAGTATCAAATTGCCTGCTGTCACACAGTACCATACCTGTAAGATGCAGCTCATGATATCAGATGCGATTTTTGCATGTGGGGTATCTTCGTCCTTCCCTGCAGGTCTCAGGTTGTGTTCCAAGCAGGAATCCCACAGTCCCACCAGGGCCCTGGCATGCTTTTCAATGGATTCCGTCTCTCTGATGGCTGTTGTAATTCTTGTGATACAGATTTCGACCACCGCCTGGTCGTTATTATTAGTTTGGTAATCCTATTTAGAAACAAAACAAAACAACACAAAACTTCAAGCTAATATGTACTCTAGAAGGTTGTCCATTAAGGGAACCAGTCCTGAGTCATTTTGGAAATGATGCCTGTCACTGTGCTAAGGAGTGAGGCTCTGAAGCCCATTACAGTTGGCCTTCCTCTTGGGGAAGAGGCAGAATATACATGCAAGCTCCTGCTGTCATTAACAAAAGGAATGGTGACAGCTGACTAGAGAAACTGGGTCATTCATATGCAAACTGCTGACTCCTCAGGCCATGTCAGTTTCAAGTCACTGCAGGACAGAAGTTACTTTTCACAGTGACGTTTTGGTTACATGTATGGAAAAAATTTAAATTACCTTCCAATTTTCCTTATTACCTTTCTTTCTGCATCCAGTAGAGCACACTGTTTCATTTCTTTCTTTTCAACTCAGTTAAGTACCGAACCCAAGCGGGCTTTCACCAACCAAATTTGTCTCTGTCTCTCTGTCTTAATGACCTCCCAAGTATACTTCACCATCTTTACAAAGAACAAATACGATCCCTTAAGATTCCTAACTGTGAAAAAACAAACATGCACAACAAAGGTGCTTATTGCTTTGGGTTGGAAAATGGGTCGGACTAATACCGTAATGGGAGTCTCACAGACCTAGAGACTGACAGAGCAGGCAGGTGTCCCCATGCCTGTGCTGTCATTCTGAGTTAGCCAACGGGAGTTCTCTTTTTTGACTACTATAATGGGGACAATAAACAGCCCAAACCTGTGTCCACCCTGTGATTTACCTGTACCTCAAATTTCTTTCTCCAGAAGAGTAATTTTCTAAGGCAAAGGACAAAAATAATTTTGAGGCCCTGGTATGTACGACTAAACTACCTTCCAGAAATGTCCCGCATCTCTTCACTGTGATTTTTCGAGAACAAAGCATTTTTAATTTTTGCTAATTTGGCCAGTGGAAATCAGTATCTCGTTACTGCTCGGTGCCGGTACTTCCTTGGACCAAAGTGAGGCCGTGGACCCTTGTGTGTTTATTGGCCATTTTTATTCCCTCCACAGGGAGCTGCGCAGTGAGTGCTAAGTCTGTTTTTCCTAAGTCTGTTTTTCCAGCCGGCCTCGTTTTCCTTTTGATCTTCCTTTGAAACAATATTTTTTCCTACTAAGGATTTTGAGACAACATTTGAATTATAATTCAATCAAGCAAGCAAGCTTTTGAGTTCTTGTAGTTCTTTTTTCCTTTCTGAAATGAGAAACTCGTTGTTTATTTATTTATTTATTTATTTATTTATTTATTTATTTAAAATGTTTTCTGAAAGTTTTATTTCCATTGTATGTGTATGGCTGTGCTGCATGCATGTGTATCGTCTGTGTGACACACGGGTTCCTGAAGAGGACAGAGAGGGTACCAGTTCTCCTAGAGCTGGACGCACAGACGGTTTTGATCTGCCACATAAGTGCTGGCATCCGAATACAACCAGGTTCCCCAGAAGAACAGTGAGATCTCTTAACCACTGAACCACCCAGCCCCCGATTTTTATTGATTTCAAAGGTAAGGCATAGATATGGTGCAAAAGATGCAGAAAACGAGGTTGACAGCGCAGACTAGAGCCCCTAGAACCCTGGTTCCCTTCTCTAGTGGGAACACGTCCCCCGGGCCCTATGTTTTACGCTAGCAATTCAGTCTCAGCAATTCAGAAATCACGCACCTCCTTTGTGTTTGTGAGTCCTTCAAGTGCATTTTAAACATAATTTACCTTTTTAAAAAAATTATTATTATTATTATTTTTACATGTGTGAATGTTTTGGCTCCACATACGTCTGTGCAAAACCTCCATGCCTGGTGCTCAAGGAAGCCAGAGGATTCTTTGATCTGCAGTCTGGATTCTCTGTATCTGTAGTCACGGATGGCTGTGGACTACCGTGTAGGTGCTGGAAACTGAACCTGGGTCTTTAGGAAGAGCAGCCAGTGTGCTTCACATAGCCCCATCCCCCTCAAGTGATGAAATGGCCATCTGTACTTAGACAGATTGTCAGAAGCGGTGGGGTAGTTGATTAAGTTTGCTGGATATAAAATCACTAAACAAGAATTTGTATTAAGGGTCTGGAGAGATGGCTAAGTGGTTAAGCACTTGCTGAAGTGATGGCCTGGATGGAGAGGTGGGACTGTAAAAAGTTGTCCTCTCTCACACAAGTGCACGCCTGCCACCCCATCAGACATCAGACGTTCCACAAGAACAAAGAAAACACAAGCAGTTTGTGTTGCCTTCATTGGAAAGAGTAGAAACAAGAAGAATGGCATCTTTCGCTCCACTTATAAATTTAGAGAAAGAGTCACGTTACTTAAACAGTGCTCCGGGAGGTTCGGTTCCCAGCACCAGCGTGGCTGCTCACGACCATTTGTAACTCCAGGGAATCCAGTACCCTTCTCTGGCCTTCATGAGCAATTAGGAGGAAAAAAAAAATCCCCCATAATTTTGTTTAAAATTGTATTAAAGAGGCCTGAAATAAACGTATGGAAATGTAATATCTCCAGAAAATGAATTAACTAGAACCAGTACTTTACACATAAGCACATGAAAAAATAGTTGCCCTCACTAGCAGCCAGGAGGACCAGGCTTAATTGGCGCTTGCGCACTGCCTCACCAAACCTATTTAGATCACAGTGACCTACTAGGGGCCACACCCTTAAAGAAAAACTGCCTTTCCTTCCCCAGAAGCCATGAACTGCAGCTACCTCCTCAGCTAGGGGCATGGCTTTATTAATCCCTCCCTACTTTATGCTGGAATGGTGCCTGGCTCAGTCTTGCACAGGTCTAGCGCAGGCAACCTTAGCTCCTGTAAATTCATGAGATCAGGAGCCTGTGCAGTCCAGAAGACCCTGTTTTGTTCTCATTCTTCCTGTCCTTTGGTTCTTACACTCTTTCCCCCCCTCTCTTCCTGAGCCTTGTGGGGTATGCGGTGAGATGATTTTTAGGTGCCTAAGATTTTAAATGAGTTGATTTTTGTTTGCTATTGATATTCATGTCAGTGTTTTAAAATATCCAAGAGAACTAGAAGGTGGGTTGGGCATGCGGCAAGACTGTACTGAAAAGTAGATGCTTGGATAAAGAGATGATCTTACTTGGGAAGAAAGCTAAATTGATAAGAAAGAAAACTAATAATAAAGGTAGTCCAGAAAGGATTTGGAAAAACAAACAAACAAACAACAAATTAAAGGCATGTTTGGGAACTTGGTGAGAAATTTCAGTGCGGAGTTCAAAGCGAAGCATGAAGCAAAATGTTTGGCAGCAGTGTTCTGACAGACCGGTAGGGAAAGTGGCCATGAATTGGGGACTGGATGATTATTTTGCAAGTAATTCTAGGGGAAGGAATTGAGGCTTGCCGGACAAATGTTCTGATCCTATAAAGCTTAAAGTGATGACTAAATGTGTTTGACAGAATCATGATGTCTAAGGGACAGATTTTTTAGCACAAGCACCTAAACACAAGAATGTGCTTGCAGTGGTTTAATTGTCATGCAAGTCACTTAAAAAAAAATGATGTGGCTATAAGATCTGATCCACCCCCAAAGTCTTGGAATATCCCAGGATAAATGTGGGAAAATGTGTGCTCTTGCTATTAAAATGGTATTTTAGAAGCAGAACACTAGCATTAGCAATGACTCTGGGCAATTAGTCCAAGAATCAGCAATGATAAATTCCAAGAAGTAAGATGATACCAAGCAAGGCGAACCAGACTGCTGAGAGTGTAGGTAGTACTTGGAGCTACAATACTACAATGAAGTATTTTACAAGAACTTGGATACAAGATTTTTCTTTGAGAATGAAATAAATGAAGTCCACCTGTCTGAATGTGATTAACCAGCTTAGAGGCCTCAACAGAGACACAATTAGTAAGAGGCTGTACAGGTGAGTTGGATGTTTTTCAGGAAGTGAGGCTTAATTATGACAATAATAGTGAAGGATGGAATATAATCGATAATAGCATTCCCTCTCTAAAAGTCAGAGCAGAGACTTGAAAAAAAAAAGGCACAAGAGACACAAAAATTCTGATGCATACGAGTTATTGTTTTTATTGTAGATGGTAGATTATTCTTGTAATTTATATTTCTATCATTAATATAGCACGATTTGCATAGCTTTTCTCACATACTGTCAAATCGAGTTCTGTTAATAACAGAGTTAAGGGTTTTATGCAGGATGTCAGGAGGTACAACCTTTCCCTGAAATAGACACCTTCCTTATCATGGGAAAACTTACAAATAATAAGAATATTTAGCCGGGAAAAGAAGCCATGGGAGAAACCTTACAGGTTTTGTTTTTTTTAAAGGTTTGAAGTTTTTCTTGTAGGAATTGAGGGCTGATCTTTATGGCTGCAAACAGAGATTAGAACAAAGAATGAGTGCAACGTTTGAATGGAAGATGATTTCTTCTGGTAAATGGAGGAGCACGGTGCTTCTTCGTTTCTTTTCCCACTGCCAAGATTAATGCTCTGACAACAGCAATTTAAGGGAGAAAGGGTTTGTTTCTTTGGGCTTAAATTCCAGGGTGCTGTTTATCATGGCTGAGAAGTTCTGGAAAGAACCAGAAGCAGCTTCATCTAGCTGCACCCAAAGGCACCAAGCAGAGAACAATGATGGGTATGCTTTGCTAGCTTTCTGTTTGCTCAGGTTGTGCAGAATTCAAACCCAGGGACTGATGACAACTGTTATTAGGGTGGAACTTTCCCACCTGAATTAATCTCATCAAGCTAGTTCCTCACAGACCATCTCAAAGATGAACCTAGTCTAAACAATTCACGTGTGCTTGGAGGTTTTTCTCCTAGGTGATTTCACATCCTGTCAAGATGATAATCAACACTGGTCATCACATATGGTAACTGTTTTTTTTTTTTTTTTTTTTTTTTTTTTGCCTTCCAGTAGTTGTTGGAAGTGCTGTGCCTTTGTCAAGATTCTTGAATCATAAGCAAGGGCAGATAAGCATAAAATGATGATGATGGTGGTTGTGGTAGGGGTAATATATAATGCAAAGCTGAAGTATCTGTTCTCAGAAGAAGCAGTGAGCAAGACAGACACAGTTTGAGAGCACATAGAAACGACGAACTGCCTCTTTGGAATCCTGATGACATGACAAATCACTCCCTGCTGATTTCTTCCTCAGATTTACTGGCAAACTAAATTCTAATTTCTAAGCTTGGATTGAAGGTCCTGGTCTTTTCTACCCTTCTGTTAGTAGCAGAGTAGGGAGCAATTCATGGTAGGAGCCTTGATGAAGGCCCTGTAAAAGGGCCAATGATACAGAAAGGATAGTTAACACAGAGAGATTTAGGAGAGGGAAAAGGTAAGAGCAACTTTCCCACCCTTGCTATTTAGCAAGCAGAAGTAGGCAATTTGTCAGGAGTCCCAAGAAAGAGATCGGTGTTGGAAAGCTGTAAAAGGCAGCTCAGGAGTCTTCTAGTTCTATTCTTGAAGAAGGATTGAGACTAAGAATTAACTACCAAGATCCAGAGTCATCAGGAAAGGGAGACCTGGGCCATGTCACAAGGAACAGATTTCATACAGGTAAATAGGCAGGTCAGCCAAGTAGGCACCGCAGACGAATCAAAAAGGAAGAGGAGGAGCTGCTGCCACCAGTCCCCCAAGCTTAACACACTTAAATAGTTAGGTTTCCTCTTTCCTGCTCCCTGGGGATAGGTGGAGGAAGCTCAATGAGGTGGAAATTAATAGAGGGGAGGCATGAACTATTGGCTAGGTGGAGGACTTAGTTCCAACAGCCCTCATCGTGACACACTGATGAGATCCAAGCAGTGACCTCGCTGGACCACTGGGAACGTATAACAGAACTCGATAGTCTTAAAGGCCTTCATCTGACCTTCTGTGAGTCTGGATGGAGGAAACAAAGGAGAACCTTTGGTATTCTGAGTAGGTTTGTTTTCCTAGAAAGATAAACCACAACGGTATTTTCCGCAGGCTTGTTTCTAGAGGAGTGAATGAGGAACCTGTTGGAAACAGAAAAAAAAAAAAAAATTGCTACCCAGAGAGTGAAAACGTACCAGGACTACTTTTTGTTTTGAGTCGGAACAAGTTGATTAATGGTCTGGAAAAAATATGAACAAGTAACTGCTGTCAAAATATTACATGGGCAAAGAAGACTGTTAGGGCAATGGTTCCTTTGGCCAGTGGGACAATTGGTATATTCAGGGTGAAGAGCAAATGAACATGATGACAGGCACGTGGAGAAAGCCTTGCCACTTGCTGGCACTGTGTTTAAAGATCTTATTATGGGAGAAGGCTGTTTTCCCTGAAATCTGAGCATGTCAATGTCCCAAGTCCCACAATGTCCCCTCCCAATGGGTGTCTGTGCAAAGTGTTGGCAAACACTATTGAGTTGTGAGGATATGGATGTGACAGGTACTTAGTGGTCCAGGTCATTGAAGTAGGACTAATCTCAAGGAAGGTCCAAGCCCAACCAAGAAGGTCAACATCAGGTCACACTGGGCACTGCACATATCTCTGCATTGGGATGTGTTTTCAGAATACATAATTTTGACACAGAGACAAAACAAAGGAAGGGGGTGTTGATTGGTGTCTTAAATGCATGTGCTCATATTTGGGACTAATAATGGAGTTAAATTAAATGGAGACTGGAGGGTAGAAAATGAAGCAAAGGCAAGAGTTTTAAAGAGAGCGAGGTGATGCATAAGTAAACAGAATCAGCATCGTCAAGCCCTGGGCAACTGTCATCTCTGGCAGCAGCGCTCTGGCAGTCCGTGTCTCATCTTACCCGCGTGGCAGAGGTGTCACCTGCCTTCTTTCATTATTCAGCCTCCACCGCACACCCTGCCTTGTTTGCTGACGCTGTTGTGCAGCTTGGCAGGTCTGCTTTTCTTAAATTTGTTACACCTCTCTTCTCCGTGTCATTTCAAGGATGTAAAAATAGTCTCTAAAGAATCCATTTGTGAGAATTCCACTCTAGTTTGTGATTTCTAGCACTCAGGTATCCATGAGTGGGCAAAAGCCTAAGAAATGGCCTAAGAAAACGGTTTGCTTGCTTGCTCAGTGCTGTTTTTTTAAAATACCAATTAAACCACATATTACACGTATCACTGGCCATTCCCCTTTACCCTTCCCTGGGGAGGCATATGGTCTTTGGCTCTGAGATTGGTCACTTGTGAGGTCTCTTCTACAATTTACTTACCAAAGATGAGCTAATTACTTTAATCTGCTCCAAAGCTTCTGTGAGGCTGTCTTCGATTTCAGCATCATCTAAAGAGAAGAGGTCCCCAGCTCTTGAAAGATCTTTTTGTCCCAAAACTAATCTGAAAAGCTGGTGCATTTTGCAGTAGATCAGTTGGCTTTCTGTGGACTCAGGGCCATGTTCAGTTATCCCAAGGTTAGAAACAGGAAACCATGGAGCAGGAGGGACATTTCATATTCCACAAAGGGCCATTATTCTTCAGACTCTGAAACAGAAACAAATGATAGAATATGGACAGTGAAGAAATGGCAGATGTGTGAGCTCAGAATACGACCTTGGTGCAGGGGGTTGAGGGAGGGATAGGGAGAAAGGTAGAGAGGAGCATGAAAGGGAGAGGGGGGAGGGACACGGAGAGGGAGGGAAGGCCGAGGGGAGAGCCAGAAACAAGTACACAGAGTAATCAACTCTTATTCAGTGGTGTTTGGAGGAGCTCTTCTTTACTTTATCTTGGAAAATTATTTTCCCTGAGAAATTATTAGCTTTATCAGAAATTATGAGATTATCAAATCAAATTTCTCCAGAGTTTTATTTGAAGCTTTAAAGGCAATATTTTCTTCTGATTTGTATTTTCTACACACCAACCCTGCTTTTCTCCATGAGGCAGGCAAAGAAGCAAAGGCGCAATAATCAAATCCAGTGCTTGCTAGATCTTCTGTGGGAAGATTCTGTGGGGATTAAACAGTAGTGGGGAAGGAAAGGAAAGGGACCCCACAGGAAACATCTCTTAGATCTATGGTTTGGTGCTCATTCCTCTAGAACCTGGCACAGGTTTGTTTTCTCTCTTTGCTGCATGTTCCTCCTTACTTCAGTCGACAAGGGAGAAGGTTATCTGCTTACATTAATGCTGTGTACTCTCTAATCAAATAGCAATGAGATAAAGGACTTTGCCTCCATATGAGGGCTAGGGAGATCTCTACTAAAATTGAACTTGAATGCTGACATTGAATGTGATACTATTGCAGTGCAGACTAAATAGGAAGGTCTTTGGGATCAGGTATCCTCCTTTTTTTGTCCTCAGCTGGAATAATACAATTTCACTTAACTTCTCCACTAGGTAACAGTCCACAGTGAATAGAATAAGGGGATGAGTTGGGTACCTGGTTATTCTCTTCAGTTCCCTTCTAGAACTAATGAAATCATAGATTGTTTGCACTAGTAGATATTTTAGCTGTCATTTAATGGCAGGGGTGTTTAATGGCAGGATGACTTCCATAAGGTCCCTTTGTAGCTACTAGCAGGGCTAGCCTCCTGCTCTCAGGTGAGTGGACTTGCCATCACAGTTTACAAGGAAAGTGGATTCTCTTCATACATGGAAGAAATGTATAATGCAGCCACTTTTTCGGAGAGTAAGAGCCAAGAGTACATTACTTAACAAGAGCAGTGGGTGATTCCAGCCATCATCGCAGTGAGAATGAGTTCCTTGGAATGAGAGTGGAAAGAGAGAGGACTCCATGGTCCTTTGGATAGTCTGAGATCTCCCTGGGAGCTGGTGCTGCAGGGGTGCCTCTCTATGCTGCACGCCATCTTACAGTTCCAAGACACTTATTCCCTAGTCGCTATGCTACCTAGATATAAGCTAAATCTTTTATGGGTATTCAAGTCAATTTTTCTGTGGTATTTCAACTATTCATGGGCTATTTTTAATGATTTCAAGGGCATTATTATCTGTTGATGTACAATTTTTATCTTGTTTTTTAGCTTTAGAAAAATAAGGTTCCCTCTGGCCAGGAAACAGGTAGGCTAACACACCAGATCTTCACCTCTCCCTCAGCTACTCCAAATCCAACCCCCAAGTCTCATCGCTAGCTCTACAGCAGATCACATGCTATGGATTCCCCCACCATGAGTCTCCATCTCTACTGGGGTACACAGATGTTCCCCTCTCAACCTTTCTCACCCAACTCTTTATCCTCCAACTACTCCAGCCAGCAAAGCACATAGGCTAACTGCAGATCCTCAGCTCTCCTTCTTTAGGCCCCCAGCCTCATCCCCAGCCCAGAAATAGAACACCTGCTTTAGCCTCTCTTTCTCTGTCTCCCTCTCTTGTGGGTCCCCATAGATCTTCCCCTCCTAACCTCTCTCCATGAACTGTTTGTTTTGTTTCCATCTATTAACTCTAGCAGGCACTCCTGGAAACCTACAGGGAAGCAGGGAAGCTAACTGTAGGTCTTCATCTCTCCCTCTGTTCTTCCAAGTCCAATCCCCCAGTCTCAACACCAGCTCTGAAGCAGACATTTGACTGTAGCCTCTCCTTACTCTCTCTACCTCGTTCCCAAGGAACTAACTAGACAGATCCTTATGAAGCACCCTGATGTCCTCCTTCACGTGACCCCCCCCCAGACCACCACCAACTCATCTCTATTCTGAAGTGTTAGCTCCCAAAACCCAGAAAAATATTTTACCTGGAACCCCCAGTGGGCACGCCTATCAGGACCCCAGAAAAATTTCCTACCAGGCAACATGCAGCCACCACAGTCTCCTAAGAACCAGAGAGGAAAGAGAGACCAAGGAACAAAACAGCCACCCAACAAAGACAAAACCAGATATCAGCACCTAGGATTACAGTCTTCCCAGCTCCAGATGCCCAAATGACAGTATGAAAACAATAGGTGTCCACTAGAGCCCAGAAATCTTGCCACATCAGGACCTGAATATTCCAACATAGCTGAAGCTCAAGAAAAAGACTTTGAAGCAGCACTTGTGAATGTGATAGTTATTTAAAGAAGAAATGAATGAACCTCTCAGAGAAACATGAAAACACAGATAGTGGAAGGAAATGAATAAAGGTGCTCAAGACCTGAAAGTAGAAATAGATCAGTAAAGAAAATCCAAACTGAGGGAAATGTGGTAAGGCAACATTTGGGAGCTTGGATGGGAACAGCACAGAGGCAAGTGTCACCGTCGGAATACAAGACTCGGGAGGGAGAATCTCCAGCATCAAAAACACAGTAATAGAAATGGATATGCTGGTCAAAGAAAATGTTAAAGCTAAAAGACTCATGGCACAAAACATCCATGAAATCTGGAACACCATGAAAAGACAAACTATAAGAATAATAAGAGTAAAGAGAAGAAACGCAGGTCACAGGTCAAAGACACAGAAAATATTTTCAACAAAATCATAGGGAAAAAAGTTTCCTAATCTAAATAAAGAGATACTTGTCAAAGTACAAGAAGCATACAGAATACCAAATAGACTAAATCAGAAAGGAAAGTTCCTTGGCATATAGTATTCCAAACACCACACACATAGAACAAAAAAAGAATATTAGCAGCTGCAGGATAAGAAGACCAGTAACATTGTGGTGACTATTTTGGTTGACAGTTTGACTCTATCTGAAATTTACTAAACCCCCAAAATGACGGTGCACACATATGAGGGATTTTTGCTTAATTAAATCATCTGAAGCGGGAAGATCTACTTCTCTTCTAGATCTTTGAGGTGGGAAGACATAGCTTTAACCCAGATACTTTGAGGTGAGAAGGCCCACCTCTGGGACACGTCTTCTGCTGAAAGCCTAGATAAAGACTTGGAGGAAGGAAGCCTCACTCCCAGCTTGCTTGCTCTTGCTCTCACTAGCAAGTCCACCCCTTCATGGACATTGCAGCCTACTTTTTCAGGATTCAAGCATATACTAAAGACAAGTTGAGATATCAGCCTCATGGACTGAACACCTACTGGATTCTTGGACCTTCTGTTGTTCATAACAGCGGTTGCTGGATTAGCTGGATCACAGCCTGTAAGCCATTATCTATCTATCTATCTATCTATCTATCTATCTATCTATCTATCTATCTATCTACTCATTCTATAAGAGCTGTTACTTTAAAGCACCCAAGTTTGTAAAAGAAATACTACTATAGCTTAAATCATATATTCACCTTCAAATACTGATAGTGAGAGACTTCAATCCCCCACTCTTACCAATAAACAGGTCAATCAGACCAAAACTAAACAGAGAAATGATGGAGCTAACTGATATTGTAAACAAAGTGGACCTAACAGGTATTTACAGGATATTTCACCCAAACACAAAAATATATTTTCTTCTCAGCACCTCATGCAATTTTCTTCGAAGTTGACCACATACTCAGACACAAAGTCTCAACAGATATAAAAAAATTGAAATAGCTCCCTGGATCCTGTCTGATCACCACAGATTAAAGCTAGATGTCAACAACAGAAACAGAAGGATTACAAATTCATGGAAACTGAGCAATCTCTACTGAATGAAAAAATGGGTCAAAACAGAAATTAAAAAAGAAATCAATTGACTTGAATAAATTGAATAAAGTGAACTGAATGGAAGTGAATACATAGCATACGCAAACAAATGGGACACAATGAAGGTTATTCAAAGAGGCAAGTTTATAGAACTATGTGCCTACATAAAAATTTTGGAGAAATCTCATACTACAAACTCAATACCACACCTGAAAGCTGTAGAAGAAAAAAAGGAAAAGAAATCACACCCAAAGACATAGATGGTAAGAAATAATCAAACTCAGGCCTGAAATCAACAAAATAGAAACAAATAAACAAAACAACAAAAACAATACAAAGAATTAATGAAACAAAGATTGGTTCTTTGAGAAAATCAGTAAGATTGACAAGCTCGTCTCCAAATTAACTAAAAGTTAGAAAGAGAAGATTCAAATTAACAAAAGCAGAAATGAAAAGCTGGACATAACAAAAGACACTGAGGAAATTCAGAGAATCATAAGGACATACTTTATTTTTTTTAAGATTTATTTATTATTTATACAGTACTCTGCCTGCATGCCAGAAGAGGGCACTAATTCTCATTATAGTTGGTTATGAGGCACCATGTGGGTGCTAGGAATTGAATTCAGGACTTTGAGAAGAACAGTGTTCTTAAACTCTGAGCCATCTCTCCAGCCCCAAGGACTTACTTTAAAAACTGGCACTTGGGGCTTGCTCAGACTGAAGCTTCAACCAAGAACCATGCAGGAACTGGACCTAGGCCCCCTACAAAGATGTAGCCGATGGGCAGCTTAAGCTTCATGTGGGTCCTCTAGTAATGGAAGTGGGGACTGCATCGGACAGGGATTCACTTGCCAGCTTTTTGATCACTTCCCTTGATCAAAGTGGGACTGCTTTGCTAGGCCACAGGGGAAGAGGACACACTCAATCCTGATGCAGCTTGATGAGCTGGGGTGGATGGGAAAGGAAGATCCCCTTTC